TTGGCCTGGCTTTCATTCCCCTCGATTTTGCTGCTTTGAGCACCAAAATCTGTGCTTTTAGTATTGCTACTTTGCCCTTAAGATCTGACAATGTTTTTGGGCTTGATCCCCCTCTTGCTAATGCTGGAGGTTGTGCAGGGTCCATGGGAAGGAAGAGGGTGCCTCAGACAGATCCCGAAGCTGTTGATGTCAGCTTCTCCGCCACCAGCATGTCTGAAACTGGGTCAGCAAAATCCCCAGGCTGCTACTGCTGCTATGGGGAAGTTGGTGGATGGATGGGTTGGTGAGGTGTGAGAGTGTCTCCAGGAAGTCCCTGGCGACTTGAGTCTCACATTTCAGATTTCATCCTAACAGCGGTGCCCTGCTGCCTCCCCTCCCTACTCCACGCCTCCATGTGGAGCCCTGGCCAGCAACTTTCCATTGCAGGAAACATCTGCTGGGGAGGCCAGGCTCAGCTGGGGGTTACTGGAGGACGTTGGCCGGGACCATCACCCAGATCCTGTAACTTGAAGCATGTATAGGGCCCTGCTCTGCCCGCCCACCCGCTCTGCCTCCCTCCTTCCCTCCCTCTCTGCCACGGGTGACTCTAACAAAGAAGCTGTTTGCTGGTCAGGCGAGCAGAGCAGGGGCTGAGGAAGGGAGTGTGTGTTGGGCTGGAGGTGAGAGCAGGCCCTGTTGCTGCAGCCAGTGGTGGCTGCTCTGCCTGGGTGAGGGCTGTGAGTCATAGCCCAGTGCCCGCCCAGGGTAGAGGTTGATTAAACGTGCCACTCTATGAGACAGACCAGGACTGGGGAGCTGCGCATTTGGTTCCTTTACTGGAGTTTCAGACCAACTATGAGTCACGCTGCTGCGTGTGAGTGATTGGCGGGGCTAGACCCTGGACCCGGCTGTGGATCATCGCTGTCCTGCAGAGTCTGCTTGTCTACCCAGGGGCCTGCCTCCCAGACCTCCAGCTGGCCCTGGGCACCTGCTGTGCCATCTGCATCCTCTGGACCCTTGGGTGACTGTCTGCACTGACCAGGGGGAGGTGCATGACCACACCACCTCTGGGCTACTCTCCGCCCGTGGACCAGCCAAGAAGGACAAAGCAGAGCCCGCCATGGGAGACTGGCCAGCCAGCTTGCCCTGAGAACCGCACCGACCACCTCCTCTCACTTGTGAGGCTTCACGCTGGGCACGTAGCTCTAGGAGCAGAAAGGACACCTGTCAGAGTCACACAGGCCCTCTGCCAAGAAACCAGAGGCCACCCATCCACAGTCAAGCCAGGGGAGACCAACTGTTTTCATTGTGTGGGGACAGTCGGGAGTCAGTGCTAAGGGAGCCAGGCGTCGTTGGGAGGGGCAGCCGTGCTGGGCAATGGAATCGCTGACGGAGTCGGGGGTCCTCTGGAGTCTCCTGCTGGAGCAGGAGAGCCAGCTGCTGCAGTGGTACCTGAAGCAGCTTGGCCATGCACCTGCTGCCGCCGAACACCATTGCTGGCACGGATCTGAGGAAATCCCAGCCGTGAGTGTGTGACCCAGTTTCTCTAGTCTCTGTGGTAGTTCTGCACCCTTGTCATGCCACTTGGCTCTCCTACCCGAAGGCCCCAGATTTGACAATCTTGGAACCAAAATAATTTGACCATTTTAAATTGAACTAGGTGAGCCAGGTCCCACCTTTGGGGTTGCAGAAGGGAGAGGGCTGGGGTCTCCAGCTTCGAGAGGCTGCGTGGTGGCAGGCCCAGCATGCCCACCTGGTGTGCCTGCCATCCACACAACAGCCCTGTGGAATAGGCATGTGTTGGTTGGATAAAGGAGTCTCCAGACTGATTGACTTAGCAGGCCAGGGCTGGATTCACCCTCCCCTCTCCCTGCTGCTGCTACAGCTTTGTTTTAAGGAAAGTAGGGGCCCCCTGAATTTGTCTGCGGGTTGGAGACTGTGGTCAAATGCCCTGTACCTCCACTTCTGTGGATACCTCAGCTGTCCCTGGATATACGAGAATCAAGGGGGAAAAGGCACCAGAACAGAAAATTAGAAATAGGAAGACTTGGGGCTTCAGGGGGTTGGAGGTCTGACATCCAGTTTCACCTGAAGTGTGTTTGGGGTCTCCTGGTCGGCTGCTCCTCAGGCTGACACTGGAACTTTGTAAATACGAAGACCCAATAGAGGGCTTGGAAGGCTAGTGGGGGCCCCAAAGCAGGTGAACATCTCATTCTCAAGGGAGTGCGCTCTTTTGGGGAAGCCGTTCTGCTTCCTCTTGGCAGGGGGACCAGGAGCAGGTACCCTCCAGAGGCAGCACAGAGCGGGGTCTCAGACAGCACTCAGTCAGACTGCCTCGCTCGTATTCCACTCCCAAGTTGCTTAACTTTACTGTTTCTCAATTTCCTCAAGTGCAAAATGGGAGAATAAAAATAATCTGGGGTCTGATGCAATGACCCACGCACAGGGCTTATGGCTGTGCTTGGCATGTGATAATAACCCCATGTGAGCCGCACAGCAGCTCGAGAAGGTCAGTTAGGCATAATGAGAGCTCACTGGCGATCAGGTGGTCACGCTGGGGTTTTCAGTGTGTGGACTCTGTTCTAAGAGGCAAGGGGGCCATCTAGATTTTCCATATCTCAGTACCAGTTTGAAACTAATCCATGGGCCAGAGGAATGTTGTTTTCTAAGGTTTTGTTTTGTTTTGTAGCCATAGGCTACACCCTAGGCTGAGGGTCAGCAGCGCTGTCTCCGAGTAGGTGGTCAGCGCATCGCAGGTGGAGTGCGGGTGTCTCCCTGTGACTGTGCGTGGCTTGTCCCGGGTTGTGCACTTGCTTTCATCTGTCATCCCTGGTGCTCCTCCTCTATGGGCACATATTTTCTTTTTAGTTTCTTTTTTATTCTTTATTTTTTAAATGTAAGATTGTAAGCCCTCGGGTCGGGTGCGGTGGCTCACTCCTGTAATCTCAGCACTTTGGGAGGCTGAGGTGCGTGGATCACTTGAGGTCAGGAGTTTGAGACCAGCCTGGCCAATATGTTGAAACCTTGTCTCTAGTAAAAATACAAAAATTAGCCAGATGAGGTGGCGCATACCTGTAGTCGCAGCTACTTAGGAGACTGAGGCAGGAGAATGGCTTGAACCCAGGAGGCAGAGGTTGCAGTGAGCCAAGATCATACCACTGCACTCCAGCCTGGGTGACAGAGCGAGACTGTCTAAACAAACCAATAAACAAACAAACAAGATTATAAGCCCTCAAAGGGCAGGATTTCTGTGTATTCAGCTGACTCATGGGATTTCCAAGGAGGATTTGCTAAGGCAGTTTCTGGGCATGAGCCTCTTCGAGGCAGCCGTGTTGCTGGGAGGGAGGTGAGCACAGGACCAGGGGTCATGAGATCTGACACTGACCAGCTGAGGAGCTGGGGCAGGGGGCTTCTCTCTGGCCCTGGTCTCTTCCTCGATGCCGTAAGGATTGGATTAGATAATGCAAGGATGGAGAGGGGAATTGGATGCCTCTCCTGTGCCAGTTGTGTTTTTAGTTCTCTACCTGTGTGCTTATTGCAGTACTGGTTTTATGTTTTATGTGATTTCTTAGAAAATCATGTCTTTTCCACACAGCCAAGTGCTCACTCTGATAGTCATGACAGCACCTTCTTCTGAGAGGTGCTCTGGGCAACATCATGGGGGGCTGGGCAGCCTTCTTGGGTCCCTGCTTCACTGTCAAGGTGGTGTTGGCAGAAGGCAGAACAGCAGTAGCTGGCATGGTGGATCCCAGGAAGCACCCTGGAGGTGTCCCTCCTTCCTTTCTCTTATCGGGATATAATGAGAGCCCCCCTTTGCTGTGTCTGGCATTTTCTCATTGGTGGAGGCCCTGGCTGCAAAGTGTTTCCCAGCACCAGATTCTCCCCACTGTGTTTCTCCACACCGAGCCCCGTTCCTCAGCCTGGCCTCCTAGGGTCTATAGGAGGGCAGAGCCTCATCTTTGCTTTTTAAACACGCAAGCAAGTGCTCCTCCTCTTGCCCTTCCTTGCTAACCCCACAGAACCGGGGTGCGTGTGCTAACCTTGGCCATTGTCACGCAGGTGTTAAGCCCCACCTACAAGCAGAGAAATGAAGACTTCAGAAAGCTCTTTAAGCAGCTTCCAGACACGGAGCGCCTCATTGTTGGTGAGTTGGGTGACCTGGGAGGGGCTGGGGAGGAAGTCTGGGGAGCCCCCGGCGTAGCACTCAGGGTGCTTCTGTCTAGAGCCCTCAAGCCAACCCAAGTAAGCAAGGGAACAGGGAGAGAGGCTGTCCAGAGCCCTAGACCCAGCTGTCAGGGCTCGAGGCTGAGTACCAGGCTTATGGCAGCCTCGAGAGCCCAATCTGGAGTGAGTCACTGGCACTTTTATCTCTGCAGATGGCCCGGTGGCAGAAGGGGTTAGCATAGTTGTGGATGGGGGAGGGAAGTTAGTTGAATTTTGTTGGTCTTTCCCACCTCTAGCTTCCTTGGCCCACTTTGCCATCACATTCATTTATCTGCCTCTAGGCAGTTGCACGTCACGCCACCTTTATGCTCCTCGTCATGAGATGGTAGGGACTTCCTTGGCTGCTAGTTCAAGTGCCTGGCACCCCTTGTCCATGGTGGGCGTTGGGCTCCCCCAGTGCTCGTGGGAGGGATGATATGCCTACTCTGCAGTGGTTTGCTGAAAATGCTTCCTGCCTCTGAGCTCCCCTATCTCCGCTCCTACCACAGATTACTCATGTGCACTCCAAAGAGACATTCTCCTTCAGGGCCGACTCTACCTCTCTGAAAATTGGATCTGCTTCTACAGCAACATCTTCCGCTGGGAAACTCTGGTAAAGACCTGGGGCATGCTCCCCTGAGCCATCTCCTTGGCTGTGGCTGAGCAAGCTGCCCTCGCTTTCTTCCTTTTGCTGACTTCATGCTCTTCCCAAGCCTTTGCGTAATTAACAAAAGCATGCCTGAGTCTTGAAAGATACTCAATTCTAAGTCCCAATAATAAGGTCTCCTCTGCCGTGTTTTCCCCTTCCTCTCTCCCCTTTGGGTGTGGAAGAGAGGACTGGGAGCATTTGCTTTTGTCAAATGCAGGCAAATATTTGGCATGAGTGACTGCAGGAGGAGGTATAGTCAAGTAGAAAGGGCTTTGGCCTTGGGACTCTGAAGAACCGGCTTGCACAGTTTCTGGGTTCTGCAACTAATTAGCAGCGTGATTTTAGGCTAGTCCTTTCTTTGCCTCTGTTTCCTCATCCCATACACTAAGGAAGAGAAAGATTAACTAGATATTTGTTTGTTTGTTTGTTTGTTTTAGATACAGTTTCACTCTTGTTGCCCAGGCTGGAGTGCAATGGCGGGATCTTGGCTCCCCGCAACCTCTATCCCCCAGCCCCTGAGTTCAAGCAATTCTCCTGCCTCAGCCTCCCGAGTAGGTGGGATTACAGGCATGCACCACTACACCCAGCTAATTTTGTATTTTTTAAGTAGAGACAGGGTTTCTCCATGTTGATCAGGCTGGTCTTGAACTCCTGACCTCAGGTGATCCACCCGCCTCAGCCTCCCAAAGTGCTGGGTGTACAGACATGAGCCACCATGCGTGACCTAACTAGATGATTTCTTATGGTCACATCCTGCACCAGTATTCTGTGTTTCTGTAAGTGGCAAATAATGGCAGGACCTCTGCACATTTAGCAGACTGTGGAGAAATTAGAAAGCTCCTTGCCCAAGAATCAAGATACTCATGGCTGTAGACAAGGCTCAGTCCCCACTTTGCTGTCTGCCCACTGTGAAATAAAGGGGTAAACCAGATGATCACCAATGTGGCCTCTTTCAGGGTTATAAATATGTGATCTGACTGTCCCTGTCTACACTGGCGCCCCCTGAACACCGTTTACCTGACTTACTAATGCCCCCCTTTGCTTGTTACCCATTCTCTGTCCTCTTGGATGCCAGCTGACAGTCCGTTTGAAAGACATCTGTTCCATGACTAAAGAAAAAACAGCTCGCCTCATTCCCAATGCCATCCAAGTTTGCACTGATTCAGAAAAGGTAAGTGGAGTCTTACTCTGGCCTTTCTAATCCTCCCTTGTACCCCCTACTCTTGTATTTCTGCCCTTTCTTGAATTGCATGAATATGGAGGCCAATAGGATTGGGATGAGAGGTGGTGGTGCTAAGGGTGCTGCAGATTCCAGGAACCACCTCCTGGATGGAGAGGCTGGGGGAGGCTGAGCAGGGGGAGGATGGAGTGGCCAGACATTGGACCTGGAGTCAGAATACCTGAATTTGAGTCCCTCGACTGTTAGCGTGTTGTGTAGTATGTTTGAGCCTAAGTTTTTTCACCTGCAAAATGGAGCCAGCAATACCTATTTAACACAGTCTTGAAATAATATCACATATCTGAAAACACTAAATTGTGAAGCAGTATGCAAATGTTCAGTAGTCGTCATTATGTATGAGCTTAGCTGATTGTCTCTCGAGAGGATGGGGCGTCAGGTAGAAAATGGATTGTCCTTATCAGTATGGGGAGAATATGTCAGCTAAAATTCAGGACAGAGCAAACTTTTCACTAGAGCCCGAAGATGAAGAAGTCCAAGGCTAGGGGTAGACTGGGTTTCTGCTGAAGGCCGAGTTTACAGTTTGGACTCAGGCAGTTTGGTGGCAAGAGCCAGGAGACTTTGGGGTCAGATAGTGTTTGGTTTGACCTATATTTGTTTGTTTGGTTTTTAAAGTAGATTTATTAAAAAACAATTGAAGGCCTGAGTGTTGAGAAGCAAATGGGGCCTCTGGGGGTCCTGTCCTGCAGCAGGCCTGACTTTCAGATGACGGTGCTTATAAGGCAGATCAGGGCCTTCCTGGGCTGCCCTAGTTCTTTCCATTTCAGACGCTAGGTTTGGATCCTGGGGCAGCTGCTCAACTCTACCCAACTCTACCATGGCTACCTGGGCTTGGAGAATATGTGAATATTAGCTACTTTTACAGTCAAATAGGGATCTTGTAGAAGAAACAAGTAGACAGACCTATCAAAGTCTCTCATTCTGACCCAGCAAGCAGGTGAAGTGACTGTTGGTCCTAGTTCCATTGTATGTTGGGCTGCAGGCCAATTCCAAATAGCCCAACTCCTTTTTGTTTTGAGATGGGGCCTCACTGTATCGCCTAGGCTGGTCTCAAACTCCTAGGCTCAAAGATCCTCTAGCCTCAGCCTCCTGAGTAGCTGGGACTACAGTGCATGCCACCATGCCTTTTTTCTCTTTTTTCTTTTCTTTTTTTTTAATGAGACAGGCTCTCACTATGTTACCTAGGCTGGTCTCAAGCAACCCTCCTGCCTCAGCCTCCCAAGTAGCTGGGACTACAGGCCCAAGCCACTGCACCCAGCTCCAACTCCTTTCTTTATGCAAATACAAAAGGCAAACCTTGGTGCCACACTTAGTCCTTCATAGCAGTCCTGGCTCATCCTCCTAGTCTTTCCCTAGTGTTTGCATCAATGGCTAACTAAGCTGATGGCAGACCTCATCCTGGGGTAATACTCATTCAGGGAAGCAGCAATGAAGGAGGGTGGGGAAAGAGCTCAGGTCAGATTTACATAACATGATGTGTAGCATAACAGGTGCCCATTACATCTCAGCTACTTCTAAAGTTGATCAGAAAGAGGTATGGAGGCATTAAGACCTGAAGCACTGAGTTGGTCCATAACCCTGGGCTTCAGAACGAGGTCTGGTTTTATTTTCTGGCAGAATCTTTTTAAATATAAAACAGATAAAACACATCTCAAACCTGCAATCTGCCAGCATGCTTTGTTTCTATAAGATGCATGCTAGACCATGAAACTACGTAGCAAAAGGTCTTTAAGAGGATTTGGTTGGGAGAAATAGAACAAGCAGATCTCAGGGAAGCCTAGGCTAGTCCTAAAGCTGAGCTACATCCCTGAACACTAGAGGAGTCCTTGTCTTTTCAGGCCCTCATATGTCTTTTTATTCCCAACATTCCCACTTGAGTCTTCATATTCTTCCTCAGTGTCAGGCTGCCATCGTTCTGACGCCTTCTGCAGTTTCCGTTTGGCCCACAGGGAAGCAGCCTCTTCAATCTGTGTCACCTTAGCAAAGTGAGCAGTGTTAGGGATGCCCAAACACCTCATACCATGAGCCTGACGCCATTCAGCAAAGGGCCGCTGGAAGCTTTGGGTCCTCGGCAGGTGTAGTTTCCACAGTTCTCACAGTCGTAGTTGGTATTTAGGCCATGAAGCTTATACGGCCAGTAAGGAATGAATTTGCCATCCCAGCCAAGTGGCAGGTTTTCTGGGTTTGTAAATGATCTCGTTCTCTTCATCTTCACTCTCACTCTCACTGATTTGCTCTTCTTCCTCTTCTTCTTGCTCTTCTCCCTCTTCTTCTTGCTCTTCTCCTGTCCTTTCTTGCTTGCATTGTACATTTTCATGAGTGAGATGTCGCTGTTCCCCGAGAATCTCTCCGTATTCATAGATCTTTGTAGATCTGGGCTTCTAGAAAAGCAATGTCTTTGTTCCTCTCAGTGTCTCACTTGGTGCCCTTTGACTTGAGATTTTTGGCAAACAAAGAGTTTTCAAGTGACTCCAGGGACTTTCCTTTGGTGCTGAATAGTCTCTGGGCTCACTCTTCTGGGGTCCTGCCACATTTCAGTCCCAAATCTAAGAGAGCAGATTTCAATCTGTCCACACCCAGAGAGGGCAAGTCCTCCCAGGAGGAGAGTGCAGAGAGGTCAAGATGGGCTCCAGCGTGCGTCCGGGCACTGCTTGTCTCTTTCGGCCATCCAGGAAAGATCCCATTCTCCCATTTCTTCTCAAATTCAGCCTGAATCTTCCCAGAAAGTTTATTCTGATCTTGGAGAGGCTTCACTCTGTGTAATCCTGAAGGTACTCAAGCAGCATCTCTAGGTATCTCTTAACGCTCTGCGTTCTTCCTGTCTTTAGGAATGTCAAATAATTGGTCTAAGATGGACAGGTGTGTGATATAATCCAGCTTCTCAGATGCCTTCAGGTTAATGTACTTGAGGTAACAGTCATGGAGATCGAGGTAATGACCATATCCCTCTTCATCTGTGAACTCCACCTAGTTTTGTGCCTGTTCACTTGGATTCTCTCAAGCCTTCAGGAGCTCCTCAGATTCCACTGACATTGGCACATAGATCTCATTCGGGTGCTTCTGGTGGAATTCCTTTATTTGCTTGAGTCTGTTATAGAAATCAGCAAACTCACTGGGTCCTGAAATGTCATTGAGCTCTTCCTTTCGTAATCCATCCTTATCATACAAATCCCTCAGGTTCCCACTGACCTCTGTATACCTATCTTGCATGGCCCGAGTGCAGTGATCAGAATTGATCTGGTCCCAGAGCACGAACTTCTTAGTGAGCATCTCTTTGGCCATGATGTCCATGAGCCGTTCCTTCTCCTCACGATAGCGCCGCTGCTGCTCCAGTATTGTCTCCATCTTCCCTTCACCATGGCCTCTCGTTGTTTTTTGAGGCACAGTCTCGCTCTGTCACCCAGGCTGGAGTGCAGTAGCGCTATCTTGGCTCACTACAACCTCCGCCTTCTGGGTTCAAGCGATTCTTGTGCCTCAGCCTCCTGAATAGCTGGGATTACAGGCGCCCACCACCACACCTGACTAATTTTTGTATTTTAAGTAGAGGCCGGGTTTCACCATGTTGGCCAGGCTGATCTCGAACTCCTGACCTCAGGTGATCCATCCACCTCAGCCTCCCAAAGTGCTGGGATTACAGGCGTGAGCCACAGTGCCCTGCCCGGTTCAACCTATGTTTTGGACACTAACCAGCTTCTTGATTATACAAGTTGCCTAACCTCCACCAGCCTGTTACCCTTTATTAGTTGTTAGCTTTGTTTATTATCTAAGCCTTTTTGTGTGGTTTAAATGAAATAGCATTTGTGGACCACCTTGTGGTTGGTCAGTAAAATCTTCATTACTTTCTTTCTGTCTGTTTAATGGGTAAACTCCATAAGAGCGGGATCTTTCTGTGTTGTTTCTTGTCCCTCACACATGTAGATTAGTGCGTAATACATACTGATATTCAAATATTGGTTGAATGAATGAAATAGGTCAGCGGATCAGTAGGTTGTGGGTTTGTCGTGTCCTTCCATTTAGGCTAGTTCATAGCTCACCGCTTACCCGGTTCCAGTAGGTAGGTGAGGGACATTTCTTATGGAGATGAGAATTTCAAAACAGGGAGAAAAGCACTGAGGAAAGTGTGGGTAAGAATGGAAGGACTTTGTCACACTGGGAACTTAATAGTACCAGGTACCCAGGCCTCTGCTGTGCTGACCCCACCTCTGAAGCGGATGTGCGTGATCACAGGTAACCGAGAGTCATTAGTGTTTGAGGATGAAGTCAGTATCTTTTCTGAAAGGAAGGAGGACCATGTCTCTCTTAATTATATTGTAATTCAACAGATATTGATTGTTATTTTCTTTTCCAATCTAGCACTTCTTCACTTCGTTTGGGGCCCGGGATAGGACGTATATGATGATGTTCCGGCTCTGGCAAAATGCTCTCCTTGAAAAGGTAAGTACTGCCGAGTTTGCTTTTACTGTGGGACTGGATATCTCTAGAGAAGCCCGTGTCTCCTCAGGGTTTTGGGAATCCCCCACTGATAGTATTCTCCTATTGATAGTGTTGACCTGAGTCCTGAAAGTCACATGTCATCTCCCATGAATGGCCTCAACACCTCCAGGAGTAAGGCACTCATTATCTTCAGGCACTTCAGTTCCACTGCTTTGAAATGTCCCAGGATTTTCTCTAATCAGTTATGGTAATGCATGCAGCCATGAAGAAAGAAGTCCTTAAATTCACAGACCCCCAGAAATAGGAGGCACAGCAGGATGAGGGCCACCAGGGAAGCCCCAGGGTTGGTCAGGAGATAGAACGGGAAAGGGGAAGAAGTGGGCAGAGCCTTTAGTGTAGTTTTGCAGGAAGGAGCCGGGGAGGCAGGGCAAGCAGGCCAAGCAGGTCTAGGATTGGCTAGTTTGAATTATTTCAGCAGGCTGCAGGTGCCTCAAGTTGCCTGGAAGCTCGGACGCTATAATAGATAATGGGGAGGGTGGGAATATGAGCCTTGGATGGGCTGGCTGCGTGTGAAAGGCCCACTCCTGGATGAGTTATTTCCTCTCTCTAGGAGTTAGCTAACCCTGATGGGTCCCTCCCCAGTCAGCAAGGCCCCAGCTGCCACAACATGAAGTACAAAAAATGTAGTTAACACAGCCACCACGAATTGACTAGTTGAGTGTTTAAATGAAACTATGAAGAGACACAGTAGAAGGCACCCCTTCATGCAGTGAGCTGTGATTGCACCACTGCATTCCAGCCTGGATGACAGAGCAAGACCTGTTTCAATTAAAAAAAATAAAAGGTCCCACTCAGATGCAGCTGGATGTTGAGAAACTGTCTCCAAGCCAGAGAAAGAAATATAGGAGAAAATGCACACACACCCACACGCACACATAATGTTTCCCCCAGGATTAATTTTTATGTGTGTGTATTTATGTATGTGTGTGTGTGTGTGTGTGTGTGTGTGTGTGTATATATGATTGACATGTGTGTATTTAAATATATACATATATTGGCCTTGATTCTGGCCCAAGCAAAAGGCTGTGTAAGAAAATTGCGTGGATTTATTATTTGGAGTTTCCTCTATTCTGAGAGTCTGTACCCCTGGTATCACTCCTGATAACTTATTTGAGCTGCGGTCCTCTGCCTTCACTCGCCATCAGTAATGGTAAAATGACCACGTGTTTTAGTCTCCACTGGCAGGTTTGAGTTTTCAGCTCACAGCTGCTGTCGTTTTTAAATAAGACACGGGGTCATTCCTATGCTTCGCAAATGCCCTCACAAATAATCGTAGGACTTGGGCCTGCTGAAGAGGGTCTGCTAACTGTGCTTGTCCTGATCGTGGTTGGCCAAGGCAAGCCGGGTGGCATTGGTCAGGGAAGGCTGCAGAGAGCAGGCAAAGAGTGGAGCAGGGCAGGACATGGTTTGGCAGAGAGGCAGACGTGTCCCAGGCAGGGTGAATGCTGCGCATGAAGGTCAGAGATAGGAGGGGGAAGTCCAGGAGAGAAGGAGGTGATACCTCCCTCAGGCACTATGAGGGCCAGCGTAGAGAGCTGCCACCCCCAACCCCGCCGGCCTAGAGGCAGGCCCCAATTCTGCCATTCCAAGCACTTTAGTCAGAAAGCTGGAATCCTAGCTCAATATACTCTGCCACCTGCCTGCTTCTTAAACCATACCTGAAACCGTGGGCTTGGGAGCTCTCAAATTCTTTAGGAAGTCTATTGGTGCAAATGTTTTTGAAATGGGATTTTTTTTTTTAAGATAATGATTGCTTCTGTTTTTCTTCATGCCCTTGTCCTGTCTTCCACACACTTATCCCTGCCACCTTCTCCCCTTCCTCCCAGTCTGAGACTCATTCATGGTCTCTGCCTCTGATCTTAGTTCTTTGACATCCCGTTGCTTCTCTTTGGAGACTCTGAACCCAATGAGAACAAACTTTTCTTAGGGCAGTGTTTTTTGGGAGGACACATAGGCACCCAGTGAAATAAGAAAACACTGGAACTAACGCTTAGAACTGCAGGCAAACAGATTCCACCTCAGGTTGGGTGTCACGAGGTTAGGTGAGATGACCTGTAAGGTTCCTAAAACTGTGGGAACATAAGACTCTACCCAAAGGAACTGTCCAGCTATGGAATGGGCCACCTTTGAGGTTGAACCTCATTCTTGGAAGTGATCCAGTAGGGTCTGCAAGGCCACAGTTAATATAAGAGGAGATTTCTGTGCAGTGTGGTGGGGCACTGGGTCAGTGGACCTCTGGGCATTCATTCAGAGTGCTAATCAGAAGCTCTGGGATCGCCTTGGCCCCAGAGTCACATGGGTTTATGCCACTCAGTGCTGGACCTTTTCCATAAGAGCAAAAGGTGAGACAGTTACCATCCTCTGGGAGCCAGTTGGTCACGTTCTACAAACCTCTGTTGAGGGATCGGGCACCAAAAGGCCAGTTCCTGGTTTTGTTGAAGTCCACATTCCTAGGCAGCAGACTGGTGTCCTGCTGAGACCCCCAAGGCAGACGGGGGTGGTTGCTGGCCTCTCGTTCAGCTAAGGAGAGAGGAGTTTCTCCTCCTCTCCAGGGGAACCAGCCAGGCTCAGTGCCTCTGTGCAGAGTGGGGGACCTGAGGAGGAAGGCTCAGTCATTCCTTTTCTCCCCTGAAGCCTCTGTGTCCCAAGGAGCTCTGGCACTTTGTTCACCAGTGCTATGGGAACGAACTGGGCCTGACCAGTGATGACGAGGACTACGTGCCCCCTGATGACGACTTCAACACAATGGGGTGAGTGAGGCCGAGGGCGGCTGCCCAGAGCAGCCATGCAAATGCCTGCAGGAAGAACCTGCCAGGCAGAGGGAACAGCACGCATGCCTGTGCAGCCCTGGAATGAACCAGGGAATGAACGAGGGAAAGTGGTCACAGGTCAGGGAGCTCGAGGGGGCAGAGCCCAAGGGCCTGGCCAACTTTATGGTTGGCTTTTACTAAAAGTAGGGTGGGAAAGTTTGGCCTAAGTAATTGCTAAGTTCTGATTTAACATTCCAGCAGGATCACTCTGCATTCCAGCAGGATCACTCTGGCCTCAGCACTGAGAATACATTGAAGGGGAACCAGGGCAGAGGCAGGGAAACCCGTTAAGAGGCCGTTGAGTAATTTAGGTAGTTAAATGAGGGATGGTGGTGGTTTGGAGGAGAAATGGCAATAAGTATTTAGTTCCTGAATAGATTTTGAAGGATATGTTGATGGAACAGAAAAGAACCAAAGGTGGCTTTTAGACTTTTTTGGTTTTACTGCCTAGAAAGATGGCCTTGTTCCAGACGGAGATGGACAGTACTGTAGGCAGAGCAGGTTTCAGGGGGAAGATCAGGAGGGCAGTTTTAGGCAAGTTGAGATTGAGATGCCTGTTAGCCAAATGGAGATGTCAAGTGGGCATTTAGGTATGGAGTGTGAAGGTCACAGGGAAGCCTGGGCTGAGACCATAAACGCAGCAATTATTGATGGATAGTCATGAGATTAGCTGAAATTTCAAGTGACTCGGTGAACATAAAAAGAAGTTCAAGGACTGCCTGGGAGCACTCAACGAGGGGAAGAAGCAACTGAAGAGAGCTTGAAAGCACATGCAGGCCCTAGGAAGGTTTCCTGTCCTGGGAGCCAAGGGAAGGAAGTGAAGCAGAAGGTGTTGTCACTGTGTCAATGCTGTCGATAGGTTAAGGAAGACGGGAAGATGTGCCCGTAGACTGGCACAAAGCATGCTTGAGAGTGGAAGGGTAGCTAGCTGCAGGCTTGGTGGTGGTGCCAGAGGCATACAGGGAAGAAAGCAAGAAAAGAGCATTGAATGTCTATTGTGCTTAGGTCTGGGCTCAGTCGAAAGAATAGTCTTGTCGCCTAACCTCTATGAATACCTATTTGGTTATCTCTAAAATGCACATAATGATTTCCAGAGAGTTATCAAGCATCTGGATTTGTTAAGTACAGGTCAGATGAGGATGATGATGATAGGGTGATGATTGCTCTCTCAGAGGAGGCAACGGCAGCATGCCTGAAGTGTTCCTAGACGGGCACCCACCTTCATCTCAAGGAGGTTTTCTTTCTAGGTGTGTAATGCAGGGAAGTTTTCTAGTTATCATCCAGAATTTGGTAATGCCACTGAAGGAGCGCTCGTGTCCAGAGTCCTGTCTTAGTCACTGTTTGGGAAATGAAATGCATGCTCAGAACCCAGATATTTGATTCAGAGGCTTAAAATGGAATGGGCACCCACGGGAAAAAATAGCTTAAGACAAATAATCCTTTCATTGAGGTAGGGATAACTCTAAGGAGGCTGCCTAGAAAAGGTGAGTTCGCAGCCAGAAATTTTACATGGGGGGCAGGGAAGGGTGGGGTGGGATGTGAAGGAGATTTCAGGAGAGCAGTGGGGTAAGCGGGGGATTTTTGGTTAGAGGAAGATCATATACAAAGTGAAGAAGCAGGAAATCTCATAGATTTGGATGAATTGAAAGGTCTGAGATTCTTAGAATAATTGACCGTCTTGAACCACTGAGGTTAACGTGGACTCACTGGTGTCTTCTCTCAGATACTGTGAAGAGATCCCTGTGGAAGAGAATGAAGTGAATGACAGCTCATCCAAGAGCAGCATAGAGACCAAGCCAGATGCCAGTCCACAGCTGCCCAAGAAATCCATCACCAACAGCACACTGACATCCACAGGGAGCAGTGAGGCCCCCGTCTCGGTATGGGCAGTCAGCCTTTGGCTTCTACCCCCAGTCCTCTGGCCAGCATTTCCTAGCATAGTTCACTGGGAACCCAATCTGGGGAGCAGGTAGAGAGGAGATTGGTTACATTGTGGTCAGTTTCCTGAAGGAGGCGTTCTGGAGCAGATGGGCTCTCTGTATTCTAGTGGCGTAGCCCGGGGTCCAGAGCTGGGGCTGGGTGCCAGGGGTACAAGATTGGGTTTGACTTCTGAGCAGACGAAAACCATTTCAAGTCAGCTGTGTGGGCGTTGCTTTTGCTGGACTGCTGCTGATCAGCCCTTCTGGTAGAGGACAATCCCAGGTGTTTTTTCACTGCCTTGATCTGACGTCAAAGTCATGCATGAATATAGAACTGTAGAACAATTAATTGTTTATCCACTCATTTGGTTGATATTTATTGAGTATACGTATTGTGGCTTGTTTCTCCACTGTGGTAGACTTTGTGGAAGCCATAAAAATGTGTAAGAGGACCTCTGTCCTCTGGGACTCTGTTATAGAGGAGGTAGAACCTTGTTGAGGAAAGAGGGTCAGGGCGTGTGCTGGCAGGCAGAAGAACAGGTAGGGTTCTTCAGGAAAGGACTCCCTCCAAAGGGAACCTTGTATTTCAGTAGGCTGTGAGTCAGACCACCTGCCCTTAGAATGAAAACGTTATTCATTGGATGCCTGGTCTTTATTTTCCATCTCTGAGGTTATCTTTAAAATGTAAAGAGTTGTATCAATTCCCTTCCAGGGCTAAGGAGAGAATGAGATTTTTAAAAATGCTTATGAAGCCTTTCGAGCTTCTTAGGATAAACAGGTACCACCTGGAGGCAGGCTGCCCCTGTTGCAGGATGGTGCAGGTGCGGCTGCAGGAAGGGGCCTGACCCTGTGGGGACCAGCTTGTTGTGCTGTTGGAATGGCGAGCGTGAGAAGTGCAGTCAGTAGTCCTTGTATGGTGTTTGCCCATCCTCTGTGGCAGCTCCGGGGAAGGGCTTTGGAGCCTGACTCTGACTTCGCTCCTGAGCAGCTGAGCTGGGAGTATGAGAGCTGCCAAGGCCGGATTCCTAATCTCCTTTCGGAGAGTAGATCCAGACCAGGTTTCCCTGGTGGGTGACTCCTCTGTCTTGGCTGCAGTTTGATGGGCTGCCCCTGGAGGAGGAGGCGCTGGAGGGAGACGGGTCCCTGGAGAAGGAGCTCGCCATTGACAACATCATGGGGGAGAAGATTGAGATGATCGCTCCTGTGAACTCCCCTTCACTGGACTTCAATGACAATGAGGACATCCCCACTGAGCTCAGTGACTCTTCCGACACACATGATGAAGGTGGGCATTTGAAAACGGGTCTGGAGTGGCCCTTTCTCTATTTTGAAGGCTAAAAGGAGATCTCTATGTGGGGACTGGAGTTACTAGGCTCCTGGTGGAAAGATGGGAGCAGAGCTTCCTTAACAAAAGGTACCTGTGTTATTAGTCTACATCCCTGTTTTCAGTTATTTGCTGTAGGAGCCTCTCATAGATAATGCTTTGTTCTGTCATTTAGTCTTGTCACTAAATTTACCCCCTGTTGACATTGGCTTGCCTTGTGGCCCCTACCCTCAAAGACATGCAAGGCTAGGCAATGTGTATAAGCCACAAGGAAGGCGCCAGTCAGCTGCTCCCTGGAAATAATTAGATTTTCACAGAAATGTCCTCAAGATAGTTGCAAAACTTGTTAATGCAAGTTTTGTAGCATGGGATGTTTAGGCCCAGCTAGAAGAAAAGGTGTTGCTGAGTCAAATAGCGTTTGGAGACTCCCTTGTTTCTCTAGTTTTTGTAAGCAGGTAGCTTCTAACTTCATGCCTGCGTAGGATTAGCTTCTAGGTCCTCCCTTGGGCACATGCTGCTTCTTACCTTCCATGGAGAGAAGCCAAATTCTCAGCATTCAAGAAATCAATTGATGGATTTCCTCCATTGAATGAGAGGTCTGTTATGACTAGTGAGCGTATGAACACAGTGCTCCCTTGTGAATCTGTGGACACCTCTCCTAGGGGCCACCTGCAGTGGTTTTCTAACCTTTGGTTGGACCACCCCCATGTAGAGTCCAGGGTCAGCACAAATGACTGCATGGGTTGGGTACTGCCTAGTTCCGGGGTACCGTTCGCATAAACAACGGTGTGAATACCCCCTGTGCTGCGCTTGTGCAGTACCCATCTGTGCAGTCATAGGACTTGACCCTACAGGGTACTTCAGAGTTCTCTGGTTTCCTCAGGGTCTTAGGGGTGCCAGAAAGGTCAGCCTCCTCCTGAGATCACATACCCACCCACGCAGGTGCAGTAATTAGGGACTGAGGGGTCCCAAGGACTCAGGTGGAGCACTGAGGCTTTAGCAGCTCACCTGTATCCTCAGATGCATTCTCCTGTAGCAGCTGGAAAATTCAGATTACAGGTGAAATTCCCTGGCTGATGATCTTCTGTATATGGACCATTGATGTGCCGGGAGGGCTCTGCATCCCTGAGACTGAAGGAAGCTCCACTTTTGGAGCCCTCCCACACCTTGCTCTGTGTGCCTCTCATTCTGGTTTGAATTCTTATTTTGCTGTATGATGAAGCTGTAATCCTAAGTTTAAAAGGGGGAGTAGGTTTTGACTTCATGGTAGAAATAGGCTGCCTTACAGAAGTGTAGTTAGGGGTCATAGCTATTGGGCCAGCCCCAGCCTTAGCAGCAGTTCTGTACACTGATACTTCCAGATTAGTCTACGTTCCCTCAAACACACCTATGCCATGGGTTACAACTACAATTTGTTGTTGATTGGAGTTGACTTACAGACTCTCAAAACCCCATTCTTTGGGTTTAGGCAACTTCAAGAAGTAGTCATTTATTTGAATTTTAGTCTAAGATCAACTGAATTAGGGAGGTTTGAAAGTGTAAAAGCAAATCGTACATTCCCAAACACCTTGTAGAGAAGGAATGGGCAGAGCATCAACTAAAGGAAATGGTGTGCATCCCAGCAAAGGAAAGAGACTGAAAGCAAAGTCTTAAACCGTGCCCATGAGCTCAGCTATCCTGCTCTGTAGTCTCTCCATACCCTTGGTGGCTGTGCCCATGTTAGCCAGAGACATAAGTTGGAGGATGTCCCTGGGGCCCCCTGCCCCTCCGCTGTCACTGTCTACTTCCTGATCCTCTCTTCTGTGCAGGGGAGGTCCAGGCCTTCTATGAGGACCTGAGTGGCCGGCAGTACGTGAATGAAGTCTTCAACTTCAGCGTGGACAAGCTCTATGACCTTCTCTTCACCAACTCACCCTTCCAGCGGGACTTCATGGAGCAGCGGCGCTTCTCTGGTCCGTTCTGCTGGGACTGTACCCCCCATTCCTCCCTCTTCGTCCTCGCTTCTTCCTTCTCTACGTTTGCTTCCTTCCCTTCCTTGTTCCTCTTCCCACACACCCTCCTTCCCTCGGCCACCTGAGGGCCCAGGCACCCTCTCTCCAGCCTTCTGTGGTGTGGGAGCTCCCTCAGGCCCTGTTGCCCTCCCTTTTCACCAGCACTGCAGCTTCACCCTTGCCCACTGCACACCAGGCACTCGATGCCAGCCCGTAAGACCTGCCCTGTCCCTGCCCTCACAGGGCTCACCGTCTAGCAAAGCACAGCGGCTCTCCATCGCTGGCAGCACCCACTCTATGCCATGCTTGTGACGTTGTCTCATTCAGACCTCATAGCTACCCCGTGTGTGGACACCGATGAGGCTGCTGGAACTCAAACTGTTAGTGCTTGCCTGACCTCACGCAGCTAAGAAGGAGCTAGGCTGGGCCTCACATCTGGGATCTGGGGGTTCATGCTTTGACCCTCTGTGCTTCTGCCTCCTCCCCTTCCCCCAAACTCTTCCCACAGCAGGGACCTGTAAGCATCCAGCTGTTACAAAGCATTTGGGCATCAGCGATCCTGTGTGCCAAGAGGAGAGGGCATGCTGAGGGCACGGGGAGGTTATGGCTTAGAGGAGAGGACTTGTTCCCAAGGGACCCTAGGTCCTCGCCACAGTAACGCCAGTGTTGCCAGCACCCCCGTAGGTGGCCCCAAGACCTCCTGTCCCAGCCCCAGGAACAATCAGCATTCTGGAGCCTTGTGTAGAATTTTGACAATGCTACAATGAGCCTCTTTCTGCTTCGACGACTCCTCCTCTTCCCACCCTCCGCCCGGCCCTCGGGCTCCCATTGGCTTCCTTTTGGGGGCCAGGCAGTAGTGAGCACAGTCCAGAAGGTCACTTGGACGGGAAACTCGGATTGGGGAGGGGGGCTCTGCCCTCCCTTCCTCATTCCAGGGCTCTCCTCTACCCTTAGATATCATCTTCCATCCATGGAAAAAGGAGGAGAACGGAAACCAGAGCCGAGTGATTCTTTACACCATCACCCTTACCAACCCTCTGGCTCCCAAAACCGCCACTGTCAGGGAGACACAGGTGAGCAGAGCACAGAAGAGCGGGCTGGAAATTCCCGTGTTCTGTCTTGAAGGATTCAGGGCAGATGTCAGGAAGGAGTTTCAGGGCGCGAGTGTCATTTTGCCCCAAAGCAGTGGTGGCATCTTGCTTGTTTAGATGCTGCTGATTCCATTGATTCCAGTTCTCCTGTTCAGAAGTCGTGGGGTGGGCTGGGCTGGGGGAGGCGGGAGAAGGTGCTTTTCCAAGCTTCTTGCTCCTCTTCAGTCTTGTCCAATGGACCTTTCCTGCCCACAGACCATGTACAAGGCGAGCCAGGAGAGTGAATGTTACGTGATAGATGCCGAAGTCCTCACCCACGACGTGCCCTACCATGACTACTTCTACACAATCAACCGCTACACGCTCACCCGCGTGGCTCGCAACAAGAGCCGACTCAGGTGCGCTGTGTGCAGGACGCCGGGCAGTCAGACGGGGGTCCTTACCTTAGAGAACGTTCATTTGCTCCTGACGGGGAAGGCAGAGGTGGGGTGTGCTTGGCTGCTCACTCTCTTTATTCTGCTTTCTCTCCGAAGCCTTCGGAGGCTCACCCACCACCCTGTTTTGAAAGAGTTAATTATTCTGTCCACTCTGTACATCTTGTTAGTAAAGCTTGTATAGCTACTGCTATTTATTGGTTGTGTATGGCTCATACAGTATAGTGTACGCACTTTACCTACCTTCGCCAGAGTCTTTAGAATGACTCGAAGAGGTGGATTTATCTTCATTTTTCAGATAAAACTGAGTTTCGTATAAGTTAAGGAACTTTGCCAAGAGCCATGTCTTTAGTAAGCACTGAAACCCGGATCTTAGAGTTGTAAACCTGTGCTCTGTCCACCATGCTGTGTGGATTGCCATTAGTGTTAGACTGTGAGCTCCACGAGGACAGGAATTCCATTCCACTCACACTTCCTTCCCAGCACCCAGCTGGGCCTGCACTTATCAGAGTCCAGAGAACACTGATTGAGTGAATAATTAGTTCTGGGCACTGTGATGTGCCTCCAAAGGAAGGAAGAAATTTCGACCCTGACATTTTAAGAAACTTGTAGTGTAATTGAAAAGGCAAGACACACACCCATTTGAAAATCATCAGACCGTTTACCTGTACCTTAGACCAAGTTTTCTTGGTTGTAAGGAGCCAAAAATTCACCGATGTAGTTCAAATAAAAGTTTAGTAAAAGGTTGCACGGGGATCTCTTGGGCTTCAACAAGTGTGCATCAAGAAGGACCTTTGTGCTTCGTGTCTATATTCTCACACTTTGGGAGGCTTAGGCAGGAGGGTTGCTTGAGCCCAGGAGTTCAAGACCAGCCTGGGCAACGTAGTGAGACCCTGTGTCTGCAAAAAATTGAAAGTTATCCAGGAGTGGTGGCATGTACTGTAGTCACAGCTACTCGGGAGGCTGAGGTAGGAGGATCGTCTAAGCCCAGGAGTTTGAGGCTGCAATGAGCTATGATTGCACAGCTGCACTCCAGCCTGGGAGACAGAGTAAGACCCTATCTCTTAAAAAAGAGGGCCTGCGTCTTTTTCATTCTCTCGGTTACTTTTTGGGGATTGGGTGTTCTGTGCTTCTTCCTGAACATGTACTCCTCCTTCAGCCTTCCTTCTCTTCCTCCTTCCTTCTTTTATTTTCTTTTTTTTTT